ACCATACAAAACTAGCCATTAAAGAATTCAACTTAGATATCACAGTCTTGGGAAAATTTAAACTCGCCAACAGATGCATAGGTACTGCACTTAGAACAAATTGAACCATTAAAACCCTCCTCATACTAGACATTAACTTGGTATACCAACCCTCAAGTCTTTGTCTACACTGTAAAATAAGCCCTTCAAAATAACTAACTCTTATTCTCCCTTGAATAATAGGACACCCTAGATAAGTAAAAGGACAGGACTTCACTGGAATTCAAGCTATCGCAGACAAAGCACACCTCATCTCCCCAGAAATAAGTTTAGAACAAAACATAGAACACTTAGGCAGACTGATTCTCTGCCCAGTGCTTCTCTCATATAGCTTTAAGAAGTCCATCAAATTTTTTAGAGAACTTCTATTATCCCTCAAAAACACTAATATATCATCAACAAATAAAAGATGGATCACCAACAAAGAACCTCTGCCCAAATGATAATGTTTAACCAATCCTTGGACAAAAACTCTCCTTAAACCTCTGCTCAAAACCTCCTCCACTAGGATAAAAAGGTAAGGGGACAAAGGATCCCCTTACCTTAACCCCCTAGAAGAAGGAAATAAGCCTCTCCTCACACCATTAACAATCACAGAAAAATACTGCTTCTGTAAACAGTTAAACACAATTTGAACAAACAAAGAGGAGAAGCCAAAACAGTCCAGCACCTTCAGCAAAAAATCCCACTCCAGCCTATCATAGGCCTTCATCATGTCAATTTTAAGGATTATGTTACCAGCTTTAACCTTCTTATTTAACTCTCCCACCATCAATTGGGCAAGAGAGACACAATCACCACTATTTCTCCCTTTAACAAAACCATGTTGCTTAGCCAAAACCAACTCAGGTAAGAGTCCAGGCAGTCTCTTAGTTAAAAGCTTAGTAAACATCTTATAAAGAAAATTACATAAGCTGATAGGTCGAAAATCAGAAAAGGAAACAGAGTTAACTTTCTTAGGAATCAAAGTCAGTAATGTAACATTTACTGACCTAGGCATATCACCACCCCCTCAGAAAGAAATTTACTGCCTCTATCAAATCATCCTTTATAACACTCCAAGCTCCTTGACAAAATCCCCCAGACAAACAATTCATCAACATGACCCATAAATAATTAATGAAAATTTAATAGGCTAATCGAATATAACATAATCAAATAAAATAGAAACCTCAATGTCATAACATTATATAAAAAAAAATATTTGGATTGTGAATACAAAATTTATTTAATATTCAGATCCAATTAAATCAAATTCATTGATCAAACTATGTATATAATATAATATATATGGGTCTTATATAAAATTTAAATAAGCACCCAACAAGTGCCTCCAACTAAGCAGCTGTGTGAACCCCCACACTTTTTTGTTCTTCTTCTTGATAAAGTGCATGTGATCTATGCATAGATGACGTGAAGGATTTTTCTTATTTTGACTTTTTTTTTTATGACGGCGACTTTTAGGTAATTATTTATTGTGCATACTACTGTATCAAAGCCTGTATGACAACCATGGCTACGACGACGACTGTGTTGAGAAATATGGTGCCGCCAACTTCTAAATCTCTAAAACATCTTGATTGCTTTGGAATGGCAAAAACCCAGGTTATTTATTTTTTTTATTGTTCGTAGCAATTAATTCCTCAAGGGCATTCATAAAAAAAAATTTCAATGAATGCATGTGTCAACAACGCCTACTGTGTCAATGCCTGTGTGGTTGAGGGTCATGGCCATTGACGGCAACACGAAATTAAAAGCTACCATTTACAAAAATAGGTGTAAAATTGTAATATAATTTTTATCGAGTTCTAAACTCATATACAATAAGTTTTGATACCACGTGTAAGAATTTTTAATGATTCATATATAAAATTTAGAACGCTTAAATTATAAAGTTTAGAACATATTTGTATGAGTCATGTTGCTCGATATCTGAGTTTCTTATGCAAAAGGGCAAGACCTTCCTCTCTTTTTTTAAAGTAATAGGTGATTCTCAATAGAACAAGTCAAATTAGAGTTATAAAGTGGAGAGGGGATCAAGCCTACTATTTATAATGAATCTAATGGGCTCTCCCACTACGGGCTACAATTAGATTAAGAGCTACATTTAACCGGTTCAACCACATCAATTAAAAAAATGTTCCCATTAGACCATAAATTCAGCTCATTTTTCACAAACTACAAATTAACCATCAATTAATGGACGTCTGTCTGATATAGAAAAATTCCAACAGTTTATCCATAGTTTACATGCCAAATAAAAAGTAGAAGAACACTCTGACAGGCAAATATGTTATGCAGATGACATTTTTCTATCTTTGTTCACTTTTAAAAAAGGGAAAATTACATCCACCTGCCTTGAGGTTTGTCCAAATAACGAGACCCCCTCAGGTATGGATAATAACACTACCCTCCCCTGCCAGTGACTTCCATCCATTCTGTGTAACAGAAACTTTAAAATGACTACAATACCCTCTATATCAACTGTGAATGACCTTTATACCCTCTTAATAAAATTCCTAATTAATTTTAGAGATTTATTTTGTTACCAAAAATTCTTTATTTTGTGATCATCTTCTCCCCACGAGCCATCCACAAGGCTCTGCACACACCTCATTGTCGGACCACCCCTCCTCCACCATCAACCCCAAATATCGCAACCCACTGCTATCACCAATCCCCACACATCAAATACCCTTACCACTATCATCACCACCACAACCCATAATCAAGAGCACACTACCACCCAAGTCAACCATCACTGTAGCACCCTAAAAAAACCACAACACCCGAAATACTATCTCACCCATCTCTATAACCACCATAGCACCACTACAATGCACACAGACAGAAGAGGTAAAGGTATACACATGTAGAAGGCCCATCATCACCACCACCACCACCAGTGGCTCCTAAACCATCGCCACTGGTGCACCACCATACACCCAAAACTATAAAATCCTACCCTAAAATTAGGACCACTACAAAAAATACCACCCTAAAGACCCTAATTCTTCAAACAAAACATTTCAAACTTTGCATGGGTGCTTCTGGTTCATGGGTGTTTTTGGTTCATGCGTCTGGGTTCTATGAGGTGGGTTCCAAAGGGGGGGTCTAGGAAGGGATTAGTGGCGGGACTGCGGTGTTCTGCATCGGTATGGGTTGGGCTGTTCAAATTTTTGATTGACCGTAATTTTTTACTCTACCCTATCCTACTGAGCTGAACGGTTAACTGCAAAAATCGGGTAAAAATGTGCAAAAATTTTTGGTCTTTCGATTAAATTGAGTAAAAATGCGGAATACCTATCAATTTTCGCATTCTTACCCTACCCTACCTGCAAAAAATATATTTAACTTTTTTATATTTTTTTAATAATTATAAGAATATTTGTGTGACATAATTCGTATTATAACATTGTTATTGTTGTGGATGTTTGAGTTGCTAAAACATAAACTTATTTTTTGTGTAGGTTACATAATTTGTGATGAACTGGTAATTTATTGGAACAGTTATGATTTTAATGTATTTCATATGGTTTAAACTTAAAATAATTGTTATTGTATTTGTGTAACAATTATGATGGATTGATGTTTATGCTTTCTTGTGTTTTATTATAATTATTGTTATAGTTGTTTTAGGTTTTAATGTTATTGATTTATTGTGTTGTTAAATTAGTGCATGTTATTTAATTAATTTTTTAAAATAATCAAAAAATTAATAGCTACAAAAGTGTTTACCCGACTTCAATCGGGTAGGAAGTCCGGTAGGAATACCACACATGATCGGGTAAGGTAGGTCAACAAAAAATTCTTCTGTAAAGTATCGGGTAGGAAGACAGAAGACTATATTTCTCACTTATAGGATAGGGTGAACACCCCTAGGTATAGGGTTCTGACTATAATGGGTTTTTGGGGCTCCAACGGAGGTGTGGGTTGGTGGGTGATCGGGTCAAACGTTGGGGTGGCGTGTGATTTGGTTTGATTGTGTTTCGTCGAGAGAATTTAGACTAGAATGATAACAGGTGAGATTTGGTACTGTGTTTACACAAGGATAATATTGGTATTTTTGAAAATTTAATTGCTTATATCATTAAATTCTTGACTTTTTCCTAACGGTGGGGGAATCTGCTATAGAGAACCAAAGCAGAGGGGAGGACAGTGTTATTATCCATACCTAAGGTGGTCTTGTTGTCATTTGGACAAACCTCAAGGGAGGTAGATGTAATTTACCCTTCGAAAAATGCAGATACATGCAAAACTAAAATGTCAACTATGATATGAAAAATAGGACGTTACACAGGATGAATGCTTAGGTTAGGTACATTCTCCAAGACAAAAAAAAAATGATAACAAATTTCTCTATTGAAACTGTTTGTCACGTGGCTTTTTGTTGTATGGTTGCACAATTGATAGAGAATTAACAGAAATTTCAACCTATGACTATAATAATCTCCGCGTGTGGTTGGATGGATTTGTATACATATATGTATGTGAAGTTTATGTTCTCTTGATGCATCCTACCACCTTAGATTACAATGCATCATGATTTTAGGCTTCTAGCAGTAAAGATGTAATCAAGATTGTTAGAGTATGTGTGACTCATATTTATTGTGTGCACAATGACAAGGAAGCAGATGTCGGAACAGACAGAGCGTAGCGGAGTGGAGCGGAACGTAGCTTTCGTGGATGTAAGCACATTGTCGAACTACGTAAATCTCTGTGCGTTATTTTCTCTTGTTTTCTTAATTATTTTTCTTAATTATTTGATTCTTTATTATTCACCATAATTACTGCACGATCACAACAAAGATAGTGATATAAACGAATTCATCCAGTTCATTAGGATTCTTAATGTCGGTAACATTAGTTACTCACCCGTTGTTGAACTTGATTGCCAGCTATCTGCCAAAGTTTTGATTCTGCTTCTTCATCTAGGAAAATATCAGGATGTACTGCTGCACTAGTAGCCGACCCCAAAGTATGATTGGGACGTAAGGTTTAGTTTGGTACTGCTGCACTAGTGAAATTAAGAGCCCTTTGGAGCTTTCCATGGTCAAAGACTTCAACTTCAACTAAGAACACTGAACTGACGGGCCGATGATCTGAGAGCTTTATTTCTGCTCGCTTGTAAGAAAGCTGTTTTATGCCTTTTCCAACCCACAGTATACGATCACACCTGCAAAATACAGAGAGTAACTGTCAGCCACTGGCAGCAAACCCTGGATGACCAAACGATTGGAAAAAAGGTGTTCACATGTTGAGTTATATAATAACAACTGGTCCGGTATTCGTCCAATCGATCATTCTGGAACTCAACTCAAATTGGACAAAGTCTCTCCTACAATTTGTATGCAGATAAGTTCAAACAATCTGTATTCCATCAATAGTCTGCTAAGCTTTAATTCCCCCTCAATCAACTCACATGCTTAGCGAATTAGGATCAAAACAAGTTCTAAGAAGCTGTTTTATGCCTTACCATGCTGGGGATCTCTTCTTCTCTCCTTCTTTCAGGTTTTCACCAACATATCTGTCAGAGTTGATTTCGTATTTGTAAGTGGGTGCAAAGTCTATGACCCCCTCCTTCCATCCATCAAACACATGCCCACTTCGGAGAGCTTTGTTTAGCTGCCCATACATCATGTTGTATTTTAAAACAAAAAGAGTAGGAGGAATCCACAATGGGAAAGACAAATCTTGTCAAGAAAACATCCAAATCGTTCAGTGTCTATCACTTCCTCCATTGTGCTCAGGAGGAGGTAACAACTATTAAAACAAGAAGATGACGATAAAGATTCAAAAATTCATACATTGGGCATCGAATTCATCAACATATGACAAATTTACTTTACTAATTATAAAATGACCCAGCATTATAAAAGGAAGTTTTCTTCAACACTTCCCTAGCAGGTGAAAAACTGACTATTATACAGTATGGATCATACCTGGATTACATTTCAGCATTAAAGTCATTGCCGTAAATTCTTCATTAAAATACAGCTAAAATAGCAATGTTGGAAAGATGGTGTATTATTCGCAAATTTACTGCCATGCGTCTAACCTGATCGCTGTTGAGAAGTTCATCCCACTGCTTCTCAGCAACAAGCTTCCTTACCTCTGTGTCCAACATATTGATACGATAATTCAAATCCCCAAACCAGAATGTCTGACTGTTTACAAAAGCACTCAATCACTAATTATGTTCAAAACAATTTTTGGAAGTACAATCACAACAGAGGAAGAATATACCAAGTCAGAACAATCAACTGGCCGTTCGCCGCAAATCATGGGTTCTAAAACATCTCCGTTTTGTCAAGAAATCCAAATTTTATATCATCTCAAATTGTTTGGGGGTTTTCCTGACTCTAAACTATGTAACAAGAATACTTCGTGTTTTCTCATCCTCCAGGCCTGGCCATAAGAACTCAGAAAAAAGAAAAAGAAAAAAAAGCGCAAAGAAAAGAAATACAGATTTCTACGTGTCCTTGGCATCTCAGATCTTGATGTTTGACAAATCAATACGTGCAAACTTGATATCCACATTAAGAGTAAACTCATGTCTCTCTCCTCGTGGATATTGACCAACATAAGTTGTCAAATAAAAACAGAATAGCAGGAACTGGTAGTTGTCTATAACTCAATTCACTCTCATTTCGTCGTTGCTGAAGAGCACATAAAAACTATCATCTTAATGCCAATTTTTTAGAGATATTCTGATAAGGAGTTTAAACTTATTAAATGCAAATGCTTCTGTGTATCTGCTGTACATAGTATGCTTCTGAGATCAATGCCTCATAATAAAATGTTAAGACATTCAACTAAAAACTGAATCTACGATGAATGCAATGCGGAGAACCACTGGGAACATGGTACTAGTTTGGGAGGCCTTACAATACAAATGTAAGGCAAGTTCTAACTCCCTCTCATTGGCAACTTTGACTTGCAAATGGAGAGACCAACATACAAGCAGGATATATCACTAACATTTTGTTGAACAACACGAGCTACTTGATTGAACCGGAAAATAAACAAATGGAGACTTGCCCACAAGAACCTTCCGAAACCCAGCTCGTAATTGTGTTAAAGCATCCAACTCAATTACTAATTGGCAACGAATGGAGAATCTCATAGGGCTTGTATACTAGATGGGGAGCCTTACAATGCTGATATGGGAAAACATCAGTCAGCAAAGAAGATAAACATATTTCAAGTTCCTAAACTAGTTCGAACTTCAAACTAGTTAGTAGTCATTTAGAGTTGCAACTCTAGCAAAATATTGGATGCGTTAGAAGATAAATGCCACTGGTATTTCTAACAGTAACAATAAGGGAAACATGCAAATGCAAAAAACCAGATGTCAACAAGATAAATTTTACATTATTTAACGTCTTTCCAGTATGTAATTAATTCTTTCGTTGCCACTTCAAACAAAAAGGAAATATGGAAAAACCAGTCTCTACACATCATCAATAGTTTTGTCCCAACAGATAAAGGTTGAGAAAGACTAACAAAAAAATCAGGAATGCTATGTCTAATTCTTTTATTGCTTCTACAAGTTTTCGAATGACTGTCATGGAAGAACAAATTTTAGGGATTTAAATTGTTTGTCAATGGAATGGCAAACTGTTCGATCATTTGTAGAAAAGAATAAGTATTCTTACTACGCAGATTTTGTATATCAAACAAGTACTATTATATCAAAGCATTTGATTAGTCCATAACTTGTGGCATAAATAAAATTTCCAAACAGAATCAACCTTCCAAAGGCACAGGATAGATGGCATAAATCATATTTACTGCCAAAAAATACTTACTCATGAGACGGGATTGTCTGAGGTTGATGATTTCCAATGACAGCTGAGAAACGAGTACGTCTCAAGATCTCGTACACATCACAATTACGCCTCTGTTCATCCCCATCCTTTTGACCAGAGGTCAAATGAGAACAAACAAAGCATAGGCGTGTTTGATATACAGACATGCTGACAGAAACAGATCCCTGTGTCAACAACCATCAATTAGTTTGATATCCCCCACAATGCCGGTCATTACGTAATCAGCAGAAGTTACAATGAGAGACAGGCCAATATTGCAGTTTGCATTACATCAAAATATGAGGGGCAATGCTTTGGTTTCGGCAAAGACAAAACAATTTAATTTTCAAAACATTCTGCACCTTGAAAGAGAAATAAAGGCAGCATCTTTCTATGGGAGAAAGATGCTGACAGAGTGACTCACCGGAGCTGGTAATTGCGGTCAAAGTACTATATAAAAGAACATTTTTTGTAGAGGTAGAGAACCCCTCAATTACAGTGCTATTTTGAAATCTTTTTCCAAGATGCATTAGACTATAGCAAGGAAAATGTATCAAAGGAGGAGCAGTACCTTGTTGCCCATGTATCCCATAAGCCCAACTCCAACAGGAGACACTTTCAAGTTGTTTATATGTCTCCTCAGCTTCCTATGGACCCAAACTGATACATATATTCCTACCATCTGCTTACTGACGATTCTCACATAGCTGGGGCGAGACTTCGCTCCATTTTTTGAAATGACAATCTTATCTTTCGCCTCTGATATTTCTGGAAAAGAGTCATCTTCCTCATTGGAAAATTGAGCAGAGACATCAGGGAGACTATCAAGACCGTCAGGCCCATCTTGCTGATCCATTAAGCCTAAGTTTCCAGAGCTATGATGCACTCTTTTCAACCCACCACCATAGAATGCAATATTCTGACAAAAAGAAACAGGATGCTCCATCCAGTCAGAACCAACTCTTGCCGAACTACTCAATACTCTCCGCAATTTCAAATGAGAAGAAAGAACTTGAGGTGTTTTGTCCAATGAGCGTTCAGGCCAGACCAATCTACTGTCAGTTTCAATGTCATATGTTCTATTTAACTGGAGGTTCTCCCACACGCCAATCATCCCACTGTCACCCACATTAGTGGTGCCTAGGGATTCCTCACCCATCATCTCTAATGCAGGAGCATCAACTACATCAGCAAGCATATCAGCGACAGAAGACGTCCCTAACACCGGAGAGGCCGGGGCACTATAGCTTTTTGGGTTGGTTTCAGTTTCCAATGTCTTGTTCAAAGCCCTGCGAATGATTGTCTCCCACTTTTGGATTGGCCTTCTATTCTCTGCTCCCAGCACATTCCCAGCATTTAAAGCGACCACCTCTTGGAAACTAAAAAACATAATGATAAATCCAATGAAAATCCATAATCAAATGGAAGATTCAGTAACCTATGCTTTACAGCGACAGAAATACACTCTCAATCAAATGAGGTGATTGCGAACTAAATGTTGTAGACAATGCTTATGTAGTTCCAAAACAAGATTAGTGCACCAATATCCTTGTAATATGAGGTTGGCAGTTTTTTTAAGGGAAATGTGGGGTTTGAGCCTTTGAGGTGACGGGACAGCCACAGATGTACATGAAATTGAGTGTCAGAAGCGTGAAAATTTGACCATTTATCATGTTGCTTCTTGAAATGTAATAGACTGCCCCATGACAAGCCCCCACATAAAAAATTAGGTTTAAGATGTATCAAGACCATCGCTGTGATCATTTTTCACCCAAACCAAAGCAAATATAGGGCCCACCTGTAGTATGGGCACAAATTGGATCAAGTCAAAGACCTTGAGACATTTGGAGGCTGAAATTTGGTGGAGATTGGTCGAGAAAGCATTGGATGTACAAGAAGGGATCCCATAAACTTGTTCTAATCTATGGGCTGCCACAAGTACAACTGGATGAATCATATTTCGTAGAAAGGCAAATCAGAGTGTAGGTGGACATTTATAGCACAGTGTCCGAGCAGTCGACTGCACAAACGGCTATCCGCCGCAACCCTTTATCAGTTGTGCGAACCCACAATCGCAACCTAGACGTGATCCCAAAGAAGGTGCAACAGCCAAGGCGAGAGTAGGCTCTTAAGATCCATGACTGCGACTAGTCATCGTAGGACCATGACCTTGAGAGGGTCATGTCCGCGATGCCCCCAGCACACTCCTATCTAGGGTTCTTTTTCTCTCTAGACTTTTCCTCAAGACCCTTGTCGAGGTGTCCAATAGAGGAAACTCACATAGTTTCAGTTTTTCAGCCATCAATCCACATGTTTCATCATCCCATATGGTGATCCGGGCCAATAACACCAGTTACCTTAGGAGTCTCTTTAGATCCCAGTCAAGCACATCCCAATGGGCAGTCAAGCACATACTTGCCCCTATTGCTCAATTCTCCCTTAAGGAGGGTCATACTCCCCTATCCCTAGGTGGGGACACCTCTTAGTCTAGTGGGTCAGTCGAGCAACGACATTCAATAGGTCGAGGATACCATTTACACAGCGGGGGAGGCGACTCTCACCGAGGTTGCCCCCACAATTTTGCAATTCTATTTTTGTCCCACCTTGATGAACGATCCATTTTGTCACTTCCAATGCTATGGAGATGTATTTCGCCCTGATGCGATATTGTGTTTGAAGGGGCATCTCACCTTAGGTGTCCCACATGAGTGTCGTGTCTTAGGCATCACACATGACATTGTTATCTATACCAGTCCAGCTGGACTCTGTCGGGCCCCATTTCCAAGGATTAAAATATCGTTTCAAAATGTTCAAAATGTTTCCGTTTCCAAGGAAACCGAAACAAAACAGTGATGGAATCAAAATTATGATATTTCGAGGTATTCCATAATGTTGAATGTACTATAATATTTCAATGCATTTGGACAATTATTTTTGAAATGTTTCAAGATATTTCAAGACACTTTGATATATTTTCATCAATATTTTAAACAAATAATTCTTAAATTTTTATTTTTTTTTATTATGTTCCTGAAACGAGTCGAAATGTTTTTGAAACACGTCGAAACATTTTCGTTTTTTATGTGACCGAAACAATACATCGAAACAATATTTTGATCCTTGCCCATTTTCATGTCAACTAATAATTATTGTCACTTGTCCTGTTATACTATAGACATGTGTCTTGAGGGTACTACATTTGTCCCCTGCACAGCCAGGTGTGAGAAACACCATGCGCGTGCACTCCATTTTTTTTTTTTTTGGTCTGCGCTTTGTCATTTGTGAGCCTACCGTAGTGCTGGGAACTAATCATAATAATTTCAAAAATGTATAACCATGCAAGATTTTCATATTCCATGGCCACTTCATGAGCTTGTCAAAGTCATAGTGCACTAGTGGGGAGTGCATGATTATAGGTTGTCCTTAGCAATGGTGTCCCTCTCATAACTAAATGACATTAGTTAGCACAGGTGGACTAAACATCATTAAAATATATATATACACTAATGAACCCATGAAAATTTTGCAATTCTATTTTTTGTCCCACCTTGATGAACGATCCATTTTGTCACTTTCAATGCTGTGGAGATGTATTTCGTCCTGATGCGATATTGTGTTTGAAGGGGCATCTCACCTTAGGTGTCCCACATGAGTGTCGTGTCTTAGGCATCACACATGACATTGTTATCTATACCAGTTCAGCTGGACTCTGTCGGGCCCCATTTCCAAAGATTAAAATATCGTTTCAAAACGTTCGAAATGTTTCCGTTTCAAAGAAACCGAAACAAAACAGTGATGGAATCAAAATTATGATATTTCGAGGTATTCCATAATGTTGAATGTACTATAATATTTCAATGCATTTGGACAATTATTTTTGAAATGTTTCAAGATATTTCAAGACACTTTGATATATTTTCATCAATATTTTAAACAAATAATTCTTAAATTTTTATTTTTTTTATTATGTTCCTGAAACGAGTCGAAATGTTTCTGAAACACGTCAAAATATTTTCGTTTTTTATGTGACCGAAACAATACATCGAAACAATATTTTGATCCTTGCCCATTTTCATGTCAACTAATAATTATTGTCACTTGTCCTGTTATACTATAGACATGTGTCTTGAGGGTACTACATTTGTCCCCTGCACAGCCAGGTTGTGAGAAACACCATGCGCGTGCACTCCATTTTTTTTTTTTTGGTCTGCGCTTTGTCATTTGTGAGCCTACCGTAGTGCTGGGAACTAATAATAATTTCGAAAATGTATAACCATGCAAGATTTTCATATTCCATGGCCACTTCACGAGCTTGTCAAAGTCATAGTGCACTAGTGGGGAGTGCATGATTATAGGTTGTCCTTAGCAATGGTGTCCCTCTCATAACTAAATGACATTAGTTAGCACAGGTGGACTAACCATCATTAATATATATATATACACTAATGAACCCATGAAAATGTCTGCCCAATTATGATAAAAAAATGATATGATCACGCGGTAAGATGACCTTGAAGTTTGATAGGGGGTACAAAGTTTCGAAAGTGTAAAATAATTGTTCCAAAATAACTTTAGTATAATATACTCAATTGCTATTTTTTTTTTCCGTAGCAAGTCTGATCGCACGAAGCCATATGTGCAATCACAAATGAATGAGTAACATGGGTTTGGGAGGTGGCGTAATTTTCTCAACCAAAATAATAAACAATATGGTCAATAAAATGACATGGTATTAGAAATAAGTTGTGCAGAGTAAGTCCATGGAAAATAATTATTTCCCACTATATATACAAATGCCAAAGTGGTCCTTTGCATCCTCGTCGAAGTGGTCCTTTACTTCCCACTATTATTTTTACATTTTGATGAGATTCAAAATTGCAAATTTGTTTTAATATATATATTTATAATTAATAATATGACTTTTGATCATAAATATTTATACGAATTAAATTAATTTCTTTTATTAATATTTTTATGTTCTTTATTGGAACTATGGAATTAAATTATTATATTTTATTTTTACGAAACTTGTGGGTCCAAATTTTTAATTAATTGATTAATTTAATTTTTTTTTAATAAATAAATTTAATTTTTTTTAAATAAAATAAAAGCCAACTAAAGTAGTCCGCTTAGGGAGTCTTCCGTATGTGTTCTTTAACTCGGATGAAAGTATGTAAAAATAAGATATAAAACATGCAACAAGATGATTTAGGTGAGCAATATAAAATATAGAACAACGATAAAAAGACATAACCAACCTCCTTTCTTATGCAGACCACTTCACCAAAGGCGCTTTCACAAGAAAGCTCGCTATGCCTGTTGAGTCCTTCACAGTGGAAGCTTTATTTGGGTGCCGGGACATCGTCGTTTTACTGGAGCTTGGAATTAATGTTGTGTTTTGTGATGATCGAAGAGAGCTGACCTGCGACTGGAGCTAACGCAACTCAGCATCGATTGTGATGACTGGTGAGAATTAATGGTAGCCGCTTGTACCATTGACGCCAACATGAACTGTAGTGATAGCAGACCTTTAAAGAATTCTTACAAGTTTTCTTCATTTTCATTATTGCCTCTTTCTTAAATTTTCATGACACAATGGGACTCATCACTTTCAAACCCGTGAACTTGCAGTAACTTTCTTCCATCTCATAACTTGTATGTACTATTCTTTATGAAATACCCTCAATATTCCATAAAACGATGGACCCCACTTTTAAGGATTATATCTTTAAAGAATTTCTACAAGTCACCTCATTTCTATTATCGTCTCTCTCTTGAATTCTCATAACATAATGGAACCCACTTTTTTTCAAATTTGAAAACTTGCAATACCTTTCTTTGAATTGTCTAGTTGCCTGTCATTTGAAAAAAACACGACAGACATGAATCTGTGAATGCAAAGCGACTGAAGAGACTAAATTTGCAACGCGACTAAAGAATGCAACGTGACTGAATTTGCAATAACTTTCTTAGGCTCACTTCGGATGTCGTGCCCCTAGCCTTTGTGCCCAAACTCCCCCTCCCCTATAAATAAAGGAGAGAAGGCCTTCTCCACTCATTCCTCTCATTTCCTACTTGTCACTTTTTCCACAGAAATTTCTATACTGGTTCACTTTTACATTTTGTTTTACGAGTACTTAGCCTTCCATTTCTTATAAGACCTTTAATCACAGTTTCTTCTTTGCACATATTTTTCACTGCACTCTGCCTCTCCTTTTTTGCAAAGCATCAAGCCCAATACTTGCACCATATTTCATGGCTGATCATCATTATATTAGCGCGGGTTCAATACCTTTGTTTGAGGAGTGGTATCGTGCCCCTTTTCTTAGTGGTGATGATTGATTTTTTGAGTACCTCCGTAGCTATGTGCCCGAGGGAAAGGAGCAGGTTCATCCATTATTTCTAGATCCCCATGTGCATCTTTGGTGTATACCTGTCAGCACCGATTAGTGAGAGATCTTGGTTTTGACGATCTTCTCCATTTGGAGTACGCAATACGGGACTTGCGGTGTGTTGGGATTACTGTTCTAATCATTGGAGACCGCATTGCCTATGCCCATATTTTGTACGACAATGAACATTCATAGAGGCTAGTTGACCATTTACGCGCTGAATATGATGACATGCAACAAAGACTTGAGGCGTTACGCGATACCTTGGGGACCCACGAGCGGCTACATATGGACAGCTTGTAGGCTGCGCAAGCCCTTGGGGATTTTGACGCAGAGGCATCATTTGTTTATGGATTATTGTAGCTTGTTCCATGCATATGTTTCTTTTTTGCACAAAATGTAACCAAAAGACAATATATATATATATATCAACCGATGTTTACATTTTTGTTTTCCAAAATTCATTTACATGTTTTTTGTAGATGTTTACATTTCTATCCCTCAGGAGTAGTATAGCTTCAACCATTTTGGCATTAAACTTTCCCATTGTTTTCTCTGACCCGAC